CCGCCATACTGGTTCTCCAGCGAGGCCTGGATGACGAGGTGCAGCTGCTTCTGCAGCTCCTTGTTCGCCGCGCGGAGCTGGCCGTTCTCTTGCCGCAGAGCCTCCACCTCTTTCGAAGTCTCCACGAGGCGACTCAGGCACATGCTGTGACGGTTCACCATGTCCTGGTGCTTCTGAATCACGCCCGAGTCGTACTGAGTTGACTCGGAGTACGGATACAGCGAAACGCCACCGCCGTTCGCGGAGAGTGACGCAATGCTGTCGTTCGACAAGGCCGAGTACAGTGAGCTGTAGACGCCGCCGGGTGACGAAATTTGACCGGCGGTGACGGCGCCGAATCCGCCGTTGGCGGAGGGGGAGCAAGCGTCCTTATTATGCATCTCTGCGCTGCAAGATCAGGCAATAAAGATAGTAAGAAAAATTTCAGAAACGTGACGGTCGTTTAATTAGTTAACTGGATCCTTCGATCGATCGAGCATTAATTAAGTCATGTTTATATAAAATTTCAGATCATAATAAATTAATAACCGGTTCGTTAAAGTTTCAGAGAGTGCGATCGAAGAAAATAACGAAGAACTAATTAGGATTATTCAAGAAATGTCGATGAAATGATCGGTAAGTCCAACATGCAAATTATTGTGTGAGAAAGTTAACTCAGAGGGAAATTGCGTTGAGATTAAAGAAGCTATACTCTCCGAAGAAGAAGCGGAAAATCTGTTGAAAAGCGCTCACCTCGCAGCTGGTTCTGAGGTTCTCTTTTAGAGTGAGGAATTTTAGAAAGAGAAAGCGATTTGAGAGAGAGAGAGAGGTGGAGGGAGAGATTTTATAGTGGTGATGGTTGAGGCGTGTGTGTTTGGTGCGAGGGAAAGAAAGAAAGAAACCGTCTCTGACACACTTCCTAACAGAATGCTCTTTCGGACCTTATGCTATTTTCGCGCCTTCCCCTAATTACCCCTACTCATTTCCAAAGATCGGAGAAATCTTTTTGGCCTTTTTTGGTATTTTAACTTGGTGTCTTCCTTCAAACTCGAATTCCTCTCTTAAGTATTAGCGGGTCATAATATTCTTTCTTTTTGTTTTATGAAATAATAATAGTGTTCAGTTTGCATCTTACGGGTACTAATTTGATTCCTGCAACCCTTTTCATTTCGTCTAAACTCAATTCACCCACATAATAAACTATAATCTTTTTAGCAATTATTGTTATATACATCCTTTTCTATTCATTTGTTCTTAAATAATACTATATATAAATTAATGTTTAATGTCGAATCCATATGCACTCACATCAATAATTACTTAATGCAGAAACCAGCTAGTACGGATTTTTGTTAATTACTGTCTTTGTTAGGAAGCACTACTATAAATAAGATAAATACATTATTAATATTAAATATTATATTTTTAATTGAAAATTCTATTTTAAATTTTTTGAACAGTACGTACCTTAAAAATAATGGCTGAGAAAATCAAAGTAATATTCTATATAAGTAAATGTATCACTTGAAAATTGTTGATACGACCAAAATATGTAGTTGAACCGGCTCAGCGAATTGACATCTTGCACGGATTTTTATTCACCTGAAATATTTCTTTAAGCGCATCATACATTTTTAAGAATTCAAATTTTAAATCCAAGTACTAATCATGGTAGAAGTTAGATTGATGTTACATATAAAATAATCATACAACAAACACTAAATTTATAAATTCTTGGAATGTTTTTTAAAAACTAGTGATATCGATGTGATGTTTATAAGTTAATTCTTATCATTAAAGGACATCAATTTGGTCATAATAAATAAATAAATTTTGGACAAAGTAGGTGTTAAAGGAACTTATCATTTAAGGACGAAATGGATATTTTAAAAAGCCTTCAAAGAACAAAATGAAAGTTTTCTTAAAATCGCATATGCAGATATAAACTAAAACTACAGACGCCAATAGCTGGAGTTGGAAAAATAAAATGTTATGGTTTTTAATTAGTCTAATGAAGATTCAATCACATCAAATTGCTACATTGGGTCCACCTTATATGATTTTGAACATAAGATAAAAAGAAGTAATATTTAATTGGTTGTAACAGAAAGATAATAAGAGGCGGAAAGAGTTTAGAGGGCGTATTCAAGGTGCAGCTAGTTGCGGTTAGAGCAGCATTTGATTATATAATGCTTGAATTTGAAGTTAGTAATTTCATGGAGGGTAGTGGCTGGTGGTCTAGGCTTTGCATTGGTTTCCCATTTTCAAGTCAGGAAGTAAGTGGATTAAGACACTTCCACATTAATTCATTTAAAGCCCATCATGGTCTTTCTTTCTTTCTATATGGAATTGGAGGGATTGCTTCCTTATCACATTTACAACAACCTCTTCCTCTATTCGCTACTCTATCAAAGTCTGGTATCGAAATGTTTGTTGAATAAAATAACACTCATCCAAATAGATGCTCTCGTTAATTTCTTTCTCGATAGGCAAAACCCAAATCCCTTCCCACGTGTCATGGTTGTTAAGTTAGCCATACAATTCTTCTCAAATAATATCTTTTCATAAAACAAACAATGGTCAGGTTGTCTTTCCCT